TTCACACAAACAATTAACATTTACTGAAAACGCATCCCCTCTCATTATCTCCCTCATCTCCATCTTAATCTTCAACCTCACCTCCACCAACCACATCTTGTTTTTTTTTTTAATTTGTTGTTTTTCTGTTAGTAACCCCCCTCCCCACCCCCCCCACCCCCCCCACACACACAGATACCTTTTATCACACAGTAGCAAATTAATGGCAAAACCTTTGTATGCATTTCATAGATGATTACAAGTTGATGTGCATTATGCTGCAGAAGGTCATCTATCTGCAGTCTCTGACAAGTTTGGTAATTGGCTTAAGGCCACAACTCTAATGTTCAAAATAGCAACAACTGCTAACAGTGCTAGTTTCCACCAACTCATCAGCAAACTTCAACTGAAAGAAATCAAATTTGGAAAATTATGGATATTTACTGTAGTTTCATTGACTCAAAAAAAGCTGTTCTTACATGATTTATAATGAAATGATACACAATAAGTTAGAATGGAATGTGTTAGAGATGGTCAGCGCTGGATGGGATGAATAGTTAGCCACTCAAGAATACAGATAATTTAAAACAATTACATTGATAGGTTGGTTTGATACATTATTGCATGATATAAGTAAAACTAAAGTGGTGATTTTTTTGTTTTTTTTTGTTTGTTTTTACTTTGCCAACAAATGTTTTGATACACTTTAATTAAATAGTGTGGATACCAAATAAAATTCATTGTTTTTGTAGTCCAAAAAAATGGACATAATTTGGGTGGATGGATGGATGGATGGATGGATGGATGGATTGATGGAGGATGGATGAATGGATGGATGGATAATCTGTCTGTCACTTGTTTTGCATTGGTATAGAAAACTATACTCAAGTGCATAGTGTCACTGTGCTACACTTATTGCCTGTCTTAAGTTGAATGGCAGCACTTGATCTTGGAGTCTAAGTTGTTTATTTATGTATTAATTTGTTTGTTTTATTGTTTTAACTTTTATGTTCTGAGATACATGAACAAACTCAAAACAAAAATAACAAAAAAAAACATAAGAATCACATTACCAGCAGCGCATTTTTGTGTGTTCTTTTCTATGTAGAACCTGATAAAGAACTTGCCTGAGCAGAAAGAACTGAGCGCTCTTGCAGAACTAAAGGGTGAATACGATGAACTGGTGGAGTCCGAGCAGTTTGGCATTGTGGTGAGTAAAATAAGTTGTTGTTAAAATACAAAACACACTAAAAATAAATGTTCTCCTTGTGTGGCTTCTCCAGCTTGTGAAATACTGAATAACAGTACATTTATATTGATAAGTATTAGAAGGCCACGACTGTGTCTTTAGTTTACTTATCTCTAATAAGTGTAAAAACATAAACAAGTCACAAATTATGCTAAAACTTGGTAGCACAACTTCCAAAAGACAGAGGCTTTTGTCAAAAACAAGTCCTTTAGACTTGAGCAAAGAATAGTTAATTTTTTTTTTTTGATGAGGATTCAGCATGAAGAACTTTGTGAATGCTGTACTTTGACATCAGCTGTCAGTGTTGTCTCATGATAAAATCATACCCCGAGGCGATGACTCCTGTCTGTTTAAAAGTCTTTGAAAAGAACGCAGCTTTAGGCATCCAGCCTGGTGATGTATCCCAATCCTCTTATCAATTTACCATGAAGATCCAAAGATCTTTTTTTTTGCTGTTGCATGATAAATATTGATGTGGGGGATATTGTATACTTGTTTTAAAGCCGTCAAAAAAAAGTACCTGTATTTTCATTATATAAAAAGGGGGTTTTAAGGTTGATGTATTCACAGAGCCTATCTGCAATAATCTGTTACACATACAGTATGTTAATTAGCGTTCAGGATTTCTGTTTGATAATAAATGCAATAATCCAAATGACAGAAGAAATATGTTGTGAAGTCATGTTTTGACAACATCACCTGTTATATTTGCAAGTCAGCCCAGGTTTAAGTGCTGTTACACCAACTAATGAGAGTGACCGAGTAGGTGTGGTTAAACTGATGTATTGTAAATCTGCTGCAGAAGAAGGGAAGTGCATCTTCAAGCTGCTCTGACCTTTCCAATTAGTTACAGCTGTAATTACTTTTTAATTAACAACCTCTGCCATCTATTCACTGACAGGATACCCAGCATTTTTTGGCTACTAAGGAAGATGATACCTTTAATGTTAACTTTACTACAAGATCACAGAGGTACATAGCTTGTTTTCATCAAACATGTGTTCAGTCTGACCTGAGGGTTGCAGACATGCTCCATGATGCCAGTAATTCTCTTTACTCACTGAAAGCTTTCTTCTTACGTCTTTAGAAGATGCAGTGAAGCAGGAGGTGGCAGTTTGTCATGGGATCTCACCAATGTTGTGATCACATACCACCTCACTGATTGAGCTTCTCCTCATTGCAGATATATTTAGTTCCCTTGGGAAATAAGCACTGCTCAAGCGTTCCTGTGCCCGAGCTGTCACCAACACACTCAATTACTGTGTGATTCTTACTACTGTATACAAACCAATTCAAGGAAGAGGTGGGAGGGTTTCTGTTTCTGTGCCTTTATAACAATGGACCGCGGACAAACAATCTTATGTTGATGTGATGCTTATTTAATTCCCTTACTCATTCATTAATCAGTACCCCCAGGAAAGGTAAGAAAGGTTCCATTCGAACATGGGATTGCCATGTTGAAATCCACAATGGCTGCTGCTATGTATGTAAATATGTTAACCTTATGAGCTGGGCACTTGAGAAATAAGCAACGTGTCAACTTCCATTTTGGTGTGTGGTTTGCATCTACACATAGTCACTATCAAAAATAGATTTGCTCTGTCAAAATCTAAAATGGCTGCCCGCCCTCAAATATGTTTATGTGTTAACTTTTAGAGTTGGATATCTTGTAAAATAAGCAACGTGTCGACTTCAGTTTTGATGTATACCTTCATCAATACATAGAAAAATGCCTCTATCAATAATTGGGTTCCCACTTCAAAAACCAGCATATGTCTGTCTGTCTTGTGAACTACATAACTTTGGTTACCATTTTGGTAAACAATTATATCTAGGCATAAGAAAGGTCACAATTAAGAATGGGGTTGTGTCAAAATCCAAAATGCCCACTGCCATGTATATAGTTTCCTCAAATGATTTGGCTGGCCCTTAATTTGGCCAGAGATTAATCTGGCTCTGCCATTGTGCCTGGTCATGGATACAGTTGCTCATTCCTCTTATCAGGCAGGAGCCGTCACTCTGTTCTGCCTGTTCTAGCACATGTTTTACTGGAACACTGGTTTCATGGTAGCAGTCTTTTAGAAAAAATGTACAAATAGTAAATGAATGGTTTAATAAATTACGTAGATACTTACTATCTATAATATAGTAAATCTATAATATATGGTGAAACTTTAATCAACATTGAGTACATAGTTAGAGGCATCAATATTATTATTATTATTTGTTTTTTTTTTTCAGAGCTAACTTTTCCTCCGTTGTTTGTTTTTATTTCCACACTCAGATGAGTTCAGTAAAGCTGCTACGACCACGTCTCAACGGCATTCTGTTTAAGCTGACGTTCGAAGAACAAGTCAATAACATCAGGCCAGACATCATGAATGTAACGTTCGCCTGTGAAGAGGTGAAGAAGAGTGAAGGTTTAAGTAAACTTCTGGAGCTCGTATTGCTGGTTGGCAACTACATGAACGCTGGCTCGAGGAACGCACAGACATTTGGTTTCAACATCAGCTTCCTTTGCAAGGTAAAGTACCGCCACACCACATATAAATGTTTATAATAAAAAAAGCAACAGTAAACTGGTATTAACATGGAAATATATTTTTTAAAGTTCCTGTTTTATTTCAGTCTAAATTATACTAAAATTCCCATTTAGATACTACAGACGAATTAGATTGCAGTGCATGATTAAATAAATACATAAATAAAAATAAACAAATAAGTGGATGTTGTTTTACTGACAAAGGCAGTATTCATTGTGACTCAAGTAAATTTACAGCATGCAACTATTTAGGAAGAGTGACTGATTTGCAAAACCAAGCACCGTTACACAAAACACAAATCCCACAAACACGTGTTTGGAATAAGATAAACCTATGTATATTAAAATATACTGCATGTTGCAACATATGTAGGGTGGAATGGCATTGTCTGTATTTTATTTATTCTATAACTGGTCAGCCAAGGTCAGGACATTCATTTATTGTATGTGTGACACTGACAGCTCTGCTGCTCCTAATTGGCTGCATCTAGAGATTTCGTCCTCAGGACACATATCCTTATGGTCATTATTTGGAACTCCTCCAACGAGGTCCGGCTTCCATTACACTGCCAATCTTGTTATGATCAGCTCACTTCATACCTGGAACCAATTTAAGGGGATAAAAAAGTACCATCTATAATTACAGAATGAGATACTGTCTATAAGGGTCTATGTCAAATCATACTATATTTGGCAACTCTTCCTGACTTTTAATGTCCATATACCTTCATCATCATATTCACCACATGCATTGTGCTCTTTATACCTTATTTTTGTATATGCTTTATATCAAATTACAAACTAAATTCAATAAATGATTTGGCTTGAAGTTTCTGTTTCTGGCATCTCAGAATTTCCTGCACAACCTACTTTAAATATTGTATAAGGAAATGCCTATCATTGTCCTTTTAGTCAATAGGAAGCAAAATCAGAGAAACACTGTACTTTGAATCATTTTATTGGTGCAGCAGTAGCTAGGTGGTCAGTGCCACAGTCTTGTAATCCTGAGGTTGCAGGTTCGAGCCCAAGTTGCGTCAGGAAGAACATACAGCAACAAACAATTGCCACATCTTTCATTTGAGTTTGCTCGCTGTGGCAACCCCTGAAGAAGGGAGCAGCCAAAAAAAAATTACTTACTTTGGATCATTTTATACTCAATTAGCAGTCGTTTAAGAAAACCTGTAGAATGACTGAGAGCTATGTTAGGATGGATTGTGAAGTTGTCATGCTGTATGTTTTAGTAATGTAATGGAAATGTAATCCCAATCTGCATGTTATGGTATTATAACTATCGTACTAAAGAGCATTTGCATCACAATGAGAAACAATGACATTTAGCTATTTGTTTGATATTTACCTAACCCTCAGTATTATCATAAATAGGTTCTTGTAAAGACCCAACGACAACAGATGCACATTTTTTAGGAGCTGTGCAGTGTGTGTACCAAAGTTACACTGTGTGGATTAAAGCCAGGAACCATGGTTGTTAGGGCACAGTGGACCTATTCCTGGAAGTGGTGACACTTACATAATTATCTGTGGACTGATTATGTGAAGGGGCAGATGAAGTCCCATGCTAATTCCTGCATCTGCATGGATCTATGGCTATTTTACCATAAATACAGTTGGTACCCAAATCTGGGCTCATAAATGTTTAAGCTTCTAAACTATAATATTGGCTTAAATGAAAGCTGATGTAGATTTACAAACACTGTTACAACAGTTGATCAATTAAACAATAGTACAGAAGAAAAAAAAATATTTATAAGTGTACTGTTTTATTTACTGCAACATTTATGACAAAATATGCTACTGACAATATTCAATTAAATTAATTTTCAATTTACTTTATTTATATAGCTACACATCACAACAGAAGTTGTCTCAGGGCACTGAACACAAGCACTCACATACATACAAAAAAACAATTATGAAAAGTTATCTATTTAAGGAAGGAATATGTTTTTACTTTATTCCTATTTTTAAGACCAATTCTTCTCTCGCAACAAATTGAGTTGATTTGATAGGTGTCAGTCAACAAGTCCTCAGAATTGTAGTGAACTAGGCCTCCGACCAAAACCTGTCTCTGAAGACCTTCATGGGACAGGAACTGTTATTTCATTGATTTGAATCCAGAAATACAAATTAGCTCATCCAGAGACTGTCTAATTGTATCCTGAATTAATCAATTGAAAGAACACTCTTCTTTTTATATTATCATTACTATTTTACAATATCTTGATAATCAAAAGTGTGTTTAGTTCATATAATTTCTAATGTTGAAAGTAAACCACTCACTTAAATCAGTATTAATGATTTTTTAAACCTCATTAGACTTTAAAATCAAGTTAAATGTCTATTTACAAAGTAATTATGCATTTTGATCTTCTGTCTGAATGAGAAGTCAGTGATGTCTGTCGAAAGTCAGAGACAGTCAGAAAACAAGTTATTAGAACGAACTGTATTGTTTTTAAACCTACTAGACGATAAAAAGAAACAACTGGCATCTGCGTTTGTCTCACTTCGCCATAACATTTCTCTGTCTGTACTAAACGTTCCTAAACATTCTTGCACCCTCTCTTGACTTTTAATAACCCTCTGACATCACTAGAACCACCCCCTGTTGGTTGTTTCAACCAATCAGGAAGTACTAAGTGACCGGAAGTGAGGACTCTTTAAAAAGTCAACTCTTCCTGGAACTATTCAGTCTTGGAAGAAATGGAGTCTTCTCGACTCTTCAGTCTTTGACCGGAGTTTTCATGGAGTCTTCTTGGAGTCTTCCACTTCTGAGTGGAATCTCTGACGGATTCACGGCGCCTCGCTGTGAACTCACCCGGGCGTAACGCCTACAACTTCGTAGGAAGCTTGTTTGTTGAACGGAGTAAATCGACACGACTTCTGACAGTGACAAGCCACTTTAACCGGAGACGCTGTAAAGGTAGCGTGCATAGGGACATCTATACCAGAGCTGATCTTCATCTGCCAAGGTAAAGAGACGTCACGAGTGTCGCGCACTAAGTGTACCAGAGGTTTGAGCTGGTGTTGAAAGAAGCGTGCTAATGCTGGTCAACAAAACATACATCTTTCCTTCATCCATCCCTACTTTAAACTTCTCCATTCCTTCCTTTAAACCTTTCTATTTCGCCAGTAAATCAATCTAGATGCCTTCAGAAATGTTATTTTGTCTTGTTAGTAAAGCGTGCCAAGTTTTTATTAATCAGAACCAGATCAACAAATCCAAGTGTAAATGTTTTGATGTTAAATTTTGATTCTGTTAAATAAATGACCGCATTTATTCTGATGGGTCAAAGAAAATGGCATCTCATGTCACTGATTAAACAATGAACACAGTTATCTTGGTCACATGGCATTAATTTAACTCGGAAAAAGAAAGAACCCGTTGTAAATAATTAATTAGTAGTGTGTCCACAGCAAAGCTGTCCCTGACATACTACAGAATGAAAAATAGCTATTCTTATTTTTTTATTTTTTTTTTTGTATTTTTTTTAACGATTGGTAAGCCGAGTTTCATAAACTTGGTGGTGTGTTTCATCATATACGTCTGGCTATGTCATTATTTATACATTTATCTGTGGTATTTAAAAACTTAACAAAGACTTGAACATATTGCATTGGTACTGATAATAATTAACAACGTGTTTACACGTGCATCACTGGGCTTTTTTATTTAATTTTATTTTGTTTGTTTACTTTTATTTATTTATTTTTATTTTACTTTTTAAAGAGAATAGCAATGCATGATTTCTAGAAGTCAACCACTTTTAAATCATATTTGCAGCCAGGCTTCATGTTCTAAAAAAAATACCTTTACTTTGATGATGAACGTGTAGTATTTGTGAGAGCTGACTGAATCAGTTTGGAGTGTTGCTGTGAAGCTTGTGAATACCTCAGGGGGCTGATTGGGCCATTATTGATGGACATGGAGGGAAAGAAGTACGCTTTCTCACTTAAAATCAATCATGTAAATGGCCCCCTGGGTGGAAGGTCTAGTGTACCTAATGCGCTCATCAGGGAGGAGGTTGATAATAGTGGGAATGTGCAGTTGGGAACAAAACACACTTTGGCCTAACTTTGTCTTTAGTGTTTATCTCTCCGAGTTAACTCGCTTATTGTGTGTGTGTGTGTGTGTGTGGGGGGGGGGGGCATGTCTGAAATGAACTGTGCCCACCTCAGGATGGATTAATAGATAGCAATGTAATGTAAGCAATGTAGCATGCTAGTTTTAAAGTCAGTAGAGTAGTTGCTGCATCAAGAGCAACCTTATGACAGGAACCCAACAAAGTTCAGTCAGGTCATCTGAACAGTTTCTTTTTGTTGTCGTCGTTGTTGTTGTTGAGACGTTTCGTCCTTTATCCAAAGGACTTCATCAATCCGAGGAGCCACAAACATACGCATGACCTGACTGAACTTTGTTGGATTTTCTACCTGGATTATTGAGCATGAACTTTGATGTTTGGAACCACTTTGGCAACGGCTGCCTCAGAGGAGTCAATGGGGGAGAGGGCGGGTCCCATAAACCAACTTATAACCAGCAATCTGGTCGGTCCACTATGAGATCATGCTGCTTGTGGAACTGAGTTTGTTTGTGGATCCTAAGATTGATGAAATACTTTGGATGAAGGACGAATTGTCTCCATACAACAAAAAAAAAAATATCAAGATGACTTGACTGAACTTTGTTGGATTTTCTACCTGGATTATTGATCATGAACTTTGATCTTATGACGGGAAGTCATCTACCTAATATCACTTGATGCTGTGGTCTAATTACCATTGTCAACAGAGGAAATCTTTAAACATGCCAGTGTCATATAGTCATGACCAAAACACATGAAGTTAATGTCTTTCTTGCATTTACAAAACCTATTCTAAACTGTGGCCATGTATTCATGTAGATGATTCAGATTTATATCCATTTTGCCTTTCCATTAAGTCAGGATTATATGAAGCTTTATGCGCAA